TCAACCACACAGACATTTTACAAAACAAAAACAACAGCAGACAATCTAACCAATAAGAGCAGAGGACGTGTCATGTGATCAGGGGGGATATTACAGTGTGAAGAGACGTGACTTTAGACGTGATTTGAGACATTTGATTTGAGATGTGACTTTAGACGTGATTTGAGACGTGATTTTGAGACGTGATTTTGAGACGTGATTTGATTGTGAGATACAGAAACATTTACACCTGTTTTTAATACAAATGTGTGTGTGTGTGTGTGTGTGTGTGTGTGTGTGTGTGTGTGTGTGTGTGTGTGTGTGTGTGTGTGTGTGTGTGTGTGTGTGTGTGTGTGTGTGTGTGTGTGCAGTGTGCAGCCAGGTGTGCAGAAGGAAGGAACCCCGACCAGGTAAGCCTCACCTAACCCTCTCACCTGATGAAACGATACGATAGGTTAACACTTTAGTGGTCAGATGAGGTCTGAAATGCTCCTTGCATCACAGCGGCTCCGTGTGGAACATCAACAGACAGACATCAAGACACATGAGAAACAAACAACAAACATGTAACATCACAGCAGGATCAGTGAGAGCAGAGGCCTGTACTACGAAGCCGGATCAACCTAACCTGGATATGTTGGAGTTAGCCGGTTGGCCCAATCCAAAACATACGCGCTCTCGCTAAGCTGTACTACGACGCTGGTTATCAAGTGGATCGCTCAAGCCAGCCGTGTCCTATCTAGTTAGGTGCGCGTTCACATGAAAGGGGTGGTATTTGGAGCATTCGACCAATCACAAACATGGAGAAGCGTACTGACAGCGCAGTGTCATACTTCCTGAATGAAAAGTGAACTTTAATATTAGTCAAATATGAAGAAGTTAAACTTTAAACATCCATGACTTAAACACTTTATCCAGGATCAAAGCCACATAGCTGCACCTGCAAGGTGAATGCAGCTGGTAACAGAGAAAGTGTTTGAATGCGTACATTAACAGGTTTATGATATCACTGCCCCGTCTAAGACACGATCTGACTTTCATTACATTTGACTCCAGTGTTTCGTCAACTTAATGTGTTGCTTAAAATAATACTTCTGCATCCAGTATGTGACACTGTGAGTGTTGCACGGCCAGATACGGCTCAGCTGACTCAGATAAGGAAATATATGATACATTATGATGTGATATGATATGAATGATAATGGGACACATCGACGTCTGCACTCACAGTGCCGCGGACTGTACGTAATGTTACTCTGATCCGGTTACTTATGTTGTGGCAGATATTTAAGTAAGCTTTCTTAACGCTAATGTTATAATAGTCAGATTGCTCTGAAGATGGGAGGGGATATTCTATTAATGTTCACGTTCACACAGTCGGTGATTTTTGCCGGCCGTCTTTCCTGCAACGGCAGTTTTTCTGTATTTCCTCTCTCCTGTAATATGACTTGATCGCTTTAAACTCTGCACACGGAGCTCTGATTGGTCAGCAGGCGGTGCTTTCACTGAGTTGATCTCTTAGCCTGCCACCTAACCTGCTCCGGAGGAGGTTAGCCGCTCAGCATAAGTTACCATGGAGATCTAGCCCGCTAAAAAGAGAACCAGCATCGTAGGACCGGAAAGCCAGAGTTTTCCCTGAAGTCAGCTAAGAGAACATCCGGCTTCGTAGTACAGGCCTCTGCTCAAAGAGCCTTCAGCGTGATCTGATCTGTAGCTCTGTGTTCACTGATACCCCTTTCACACCGGCGCTTTTCCAGCTCCTGCTGGGAGCTAGAGCCTGAAAAGCGCCGGTTTTTCCTGTTCACACCGCAGCGGCGGCGCGTCATAGCTCCGGAATGCGGTTCACTTCCAGCTCCAAAAAATTGTCGGTCCAGAGGCAAGAGCTTCGGAGCTATGACGCGGCGTCGCTTACGTCTCTTACGTCGAGGCGTGCAGGAAACCTTACTTTGACCATCCGTTCGCTGTTATTGATCATTGTGGAGATACATGGGCTGCACAGGTTGTCATGTCCGACTATCACAAGTAGAATCATAATGAAAAATACGCCGGTAAAATGTGCCTATAGAAAACGGCTTAGCAAGTAGTCAGTTTAGCTTCGGTTGCTATGCTAACATCACCCATGTTATACCAGAGAAACTTTCATAACAGCGTTGTGATGCCAAACAGCGTCAATTCAGACTGACACACATTCACTTAAGGGGAACTGGGGATATGTATCAGCTGCTTGTGTGACAGTCAGACAGTGAATACTTTAGAGCCGTGTGAGCTAACCCGGAGCTAACGGGACAATAAACTCCCGTTGAAGAGCAGCAGCACTGCAGCGGTCGCTAAATGAAACACATTAATAAACAATGAACCACAGCACTCTGGAGAAAAGTATAAGGTTGGAGAAGTCGTTATTTAATTTAATCTGGCTTCGTATGATTAAAAGCAACACGACCCGATGCAGTCCCCGGCCCGTTGTTGTTGTGGGAGAAAATCAGCGACGTAAACTGTGACGTCATGACGCAGCAGCGGTAGCTCTGGGCAGTGTGAACAGAGCGGGAGCTGAAAAGGGAAACGGGAGCTGAACCAGAAAAGCTCTCGCGAGGAGCTAGAAAGTGAAAAGCGCCGGTGTGAAAGCCGCATCAGAGGACTGACTGGAGCACAGAGGATGCTTCAGGCTGACTTTAGTGAATCTCCATCAGATGGTAGCAGTTCAGATTCTCTGTCAGAGCATGCTTTGGGTCCCAGAGGATGCTGTTGGAGCCTCTCAGGTTATTATGGGATGTTGAGTATGAAATAAAAGCATGTGTTTTATAGGGGCTATTTTTTCTCAAAACACATCTTTCAGATATAAACAGTTGTTCATCCACTCTGAAATAGTCTTCCCTATTATTCTTTAAAAAATAATGTTAGTTATTTTTCTGTCGTATGTTTTTTTCAATTGCATAGACAGATGTTGATGTCATCGGTTATGATCCTGTTGTTTGTTTCCGTCTGCAGTTACTCGTGCCAGGCGCTGCTGCTTTATTACTACATATCCAATCAGAGCGTGGGGGGGGCGGAGCTGTCCAATAGGCTGTCGGGCAGCGGGGGGGCGATGGGGGCCGGCCTTCAGCTAGACCCCGCCTCCACCCAGGTGACACCCATAGGTAAGGAAATATTACAAATACGTAAATCATTCATCTTGTTTTTTCAGAATAAAAAAAACACATTTTTGAAGGACATTCAAATTTTCAAAATAAAAGCATGTGTTTTAGAGGGGCATCTTTTTCTCAAAACACATCTTTTGGATATAAACAGTTGTTCATCCATTTAGTCAAAATCTTCCTTATTATTCTTCCCAGTGATTTTCAGATCGCCTGGATACGTTTTTCACGATTATTCAACTTCAAAATAAAAGTTTTTTAAAGGGGCCTTTTTTCCAGATTGATCTTTTAATAATTGTATTTCATTCAGAGACAGTCTTTTCATTTCCTCATCCTTTTTCCTTCTGTTCATTTTTTTTAATCGCCTGGATACATTTCCCCACATAATTCCAAATTATTATTTCAAAATAAAAGCATACTGTATTTTTATAGGCTTATTTATTGTTTTTTATTTATTTAAACGCATCCTTTCATAATGCAGCTGTTCAGTCGTCATCTTTGCCCGTTTTTTTTTAACAACTTGGACACATTTTTGAAGATAATCACATTTTTCAAAAGAAAAGCATGAGATTTGTTGATGTCTTTTCTCCAATCTTTATCATCCTGTCTTTCCCTCGAGGGACTGAATATCTGAATATCTTGATCAAATCCTCCTGTGTGGTTCAGTTTGCATGTTTTCCTGTAAATGTTCAGCCTAAACTTTGACATAATTCTTGTTTTTCTCAAATTCATTCCGTGTTTGTTTTTGTGTCCGTCAGAGAACTGTCCCGAGGAGAACCCTCTGCACTACCGCTGGCCCGAGAGCCGGCCCACCGTCACCCAGACGCTGCCCTGCTTCCCCAACAAGGAGCAGAGCACCTCCAGGACCTGGTGACACACACACACACACACACACACACACACACACACACACACACACACACACACACACACACACACACACACACACACACACACACACACACACACACACACACACACACACACACACACACACACACACACAAGATTCAAGTTTCAAGTCTCTATCACCATGTGCTCAGCAGCTTCAGTGTAGATATGGCAATGAAAAACTGAAGTCCTCCTCCAACAGAGCAACATGAATATATATAGGACATAGAACAATTAAAACAGATAAAATATCGCAAGAGAATGTACATGAACACAGACTAAACACCCCTTGTTGTTAAATACCAACTATGTGCAATATATATATATATGCTGTTAATAACTGTGCAACATATATATGGCTGCTAAATTCCTCAGACCTGTGACATGATGTGTATTATGTAAATTGTATAATTTAAAACATGTTTTTGTATGCATGCTTTAGTAAACATTAAGCTGTCTTTGGCTCTTTTCTGCTTTAACAATATAAATGTCCCCTCTGTGGGACTAATAAAGGTACTCTACTGTACTGTACACTACTGTACAATACTGTACTATACTGTACTGTACTCTGCTGTACTGTACTCTACTGTACAATACTGTACTCTACTGTACTGTACACTACTGTACAATACTTTACTGTACTGTACTATACTGTACTGTACACTACTGTACAATATGTTACTGTACTATACAATACTGTACTCTACTGTACTGTACTCTGCTGTACTGTACTCTACTGTACTGTACTGTACTGTACTCTGCTGTACTGTACTCTACTGTACTCTACTGTACTCTACTCTACTCTGCTGTACTGTACTCTACTGTACTGTACTCTACTGTACTCTACTGTACTGTACTGTACTCTACTGTACTGTACTGTACTCTACTGTACTGTACTCTACTCTGCTGTACTGTACTCTACTGTACTGTACTCTACTGTACTGTACTCTACTCTGCTGTACTGTACTCTACTGTACTCTACTGTACTCTGCTGTACTGTACTCTACTCTGCTGTACTGTACTCTACTGTACTCTACTGTACTCTGCTGTACTGTACTGTACTCTACTGTACTGTTCTGTACTCTACTGTACTGTACTCTACTCTGCTGTACTGTACTCTACTGTACTCTACTGTACTGTACTCTACTGTACTGTACTCTACTGTACTGTACTCTACTGTACTGTACTCTACTCTACTGTACTCTACTGTACTGTACTGTACTCTACTGTACTCTACTGTACTCTACTGTACTGTACTCTACTGTACTGTACACTACTGTACAATACTTTACTCTACTGTACTGTACTCTACTCTGCTGTACTGTACTCTACTGTACTCTACTGTACTGTACTCTACTGTACTGTACTCTACTCTGCTGTACTGTACTCTACTGTACTCTACTCTACTGTACTCTACTGTACTGTACTCTACTGTACTGTACAGCTGATACAAATAAAATAGAAATAGTGCAAAAAGAATGGAATGATATATTAGATAAATAATTAGCAAAATGCATCACATGAATGTTTATGGACTCACGTGATGTTTGTACGTGGCAGATTTAAGAAATATCGTAGTTTTTTTTCTAAACATTGTGTTTCCTGTGTCTCTCAGTTTGATCAGTCCTCAGAACCTCTCTTCCTATTGGTCGGTTGCAGACATCAGTAACTGCACGGACATCGACACCATCGAAGTGTCCGCAGGTAACACCACAGCCCTAATAACTGAACTCTTATTTTCTCTCCTGCACATTTTCTTTTTGGATCGTTTATTTTTCAAAATAAAAGCATCTGATTTCGATGGCAATTTATTTGTTGTTGAAATCCACAGTTTTTATACCTGCAGTCGTCATCTTTGCTTTTTCTTAGTCCTTTTATTCGGTTTGGATCTTTGCAAGATCATTCGAATTTTCAAAATAAAAGCATTTGATCTAAAGTGGCAATTTATTTCCAAAACATTATTTTTTTTAATACACGGTTTTCATTAATTCAGTCGTCATCTTCGCTTTTTCTTAGTCCTTTTATTCGGTAGTTTTTTTTGGATGGCTTGCACATACAATTCTGCAGATCATTCCAATTTTCAAAATAAAAGCATATGTTTATAGGGTCTTTTATCTCGAGACACATTTTCTTTTAAAATACAGTCGTTCACACGTGTGGTGCTAATCTTCACTCTCTCTTATCTTATTTCTTCTGGGCTTTTTTTGGACTGCTTGGACACAAATTTGCAGATCAATCCAGTTTTCACAATAAAAGCCTACATTTTATATGGGCCTTATTCTCGAAAAATTGAAAATACACAGTTGTTCATTCATGAAGTCGTAGTCTTTCCTCTTATTTTAATATCATTTTGTTACACATGTTTATATGGATCGCTCAGACACATTTCAATCCAGCTTTCACAATAAAAGCATATGTTTATAGGGGCTTGTATGCCATTATATAGCAGTGAAGTTGAAAAGGTTCATTTGACTGCCAGAAAAATATAGTAAAAGTGAATACATTTGGATTTATCTGTGGGTAAATGAAGTGTTTGACTCTTTATGCAACATATCATTCAGAAATGTGTTTTAATAACTAAATGTGTGTGTTGTTGCAGAGAACGCAGCAGAGGTGGCGGTGCAGCTCGCCGTCATCACCGACAACGAGCTGTCGGAGGAGGAGGTGTGTACAGACAGATGTTTAAATATCATAAATATAAATGCCAGTATTTGTTCTGATGGAGGATGCCCCTGCAGGTGTCCAAGGTGGTGTCCAAGGTCAAGCAGCTGGTTGCCGTGGCGAGGATCAACAGCTCGCTGGCCGAGACCGTCGTCACCATCATCTCCAATGTGATGACGAGCTCCGAGAGCACGAGGGCCGCCACCGCTGACAAGTACATCAAATACTGCAGTACTCAATACAACACAATACAACACAACACAATACAACACAATACAATACAACACAAAGGGGCTTTATCAGAATCAGAATACCTTTATTAGTCCCTCAAGTACTCTACTGTATTCAACTCTACTGTACTTTAATGTACTTGACTCTACTCGACTGTACTCTACTGTATTCAACTCTACTCTACTCTACTGTACTCTACTGTACTGTACCTTACTGTACTCTACTGTACTCTACTGTACTGTACCTTACTGTACTCTACTGTACTGTACCTTACTGTACTCTACTGTACTGTACCTTACTGTACTGTACTTTACTGTACCTTACTGTACTCTACTGTACTGTACCTTACTGTACTCTACTGTACTGTACCTACTGTACTCTACTGTACTCTACTGTACTGTACCTTACTGTACTGTACTGTACTTTACTGTACCTTACTGTACTCTACTGTACTCTACTGTACTGTACTGTACTGTACCTTACTGTACTCTACTGTACTCTACTGTACTGTACCTTACTGTACTCTACTGTACTGTACTGTACCTTACTGTACTCTACTGTACTCTACTGTACCTTACTGTACTCTACTGTACTGTACTGTACCTTA